TGAGCTATGATGCCACAGCATTCTACTAAGGATGACAAAGTGAGACTCTGTCTCAAAAAACAAACAAACAAACAAAACAGCTGAGGGTAATAACAGTCCCACTCTCAAGAGGCTGTTTTGGTGATTAGATGAACCAATACATGTTATTATTATTATTGTTTTCCTGAAGATTTTTATATAGGGTAGTTTTGGTTTTTTTTTTGAGACAGAGCCTCAAGCTGTCCCCCTGGGTAGAGTGCTGTGACATCACAGCTCACAGCAACCTGCTCAAGCAACTTTCCTGCCTCCACCTCCCAAGTAGCTGGGACCACAGGCGCCGACCACAACACCTGGCTATTTGTTGGTTGCAGCCATCATTGTTGTTTGGCAGGCCTGGGCTGGATTTGAACCCGCCACCTTAGGTATATGTGGCTGGTGCCTCAGCCACTTAAGCCATAGGCACCGAGCCAACAGGGTAGTTAAGAAATCTTTTGACAATTTCCTTCCTTCCTTCTCCAACCCCAGGAACAAACCCTACTTGTTTTATTTCAACATTGTGAAGTGTGCCAGCCCACTGGTCTTGTTGGAATTTCAGTGTCCCACCCCACAGGTAACTTGTCCTCCCCTTTCCTTTCCCCTTGTGAGTGTAGGGCAGACTTTACCCACCCATTCCCTTCCTCCTGCCCTCCCAGATCTGCGTGGAGAAATGTCCCAATCGCTACCTCACCTACCTGAATGCTCGCAACTCCCGAGACTTTGAGTACTATAAGCAGTTCTGTGTTCCTGGCTTCCAGAACAATAAGGTAAGCAGTAGACTACCCCGGGAGCCCAGGCAGGGGTTGTAGGTAGGTGTTGACCTGGGGGACTCACCTCTTTCTTGGCAGGGTGTGGCCGAGGTGCTTCGAGATGGTGACTGCCCTGCTGTCCTCACCCCCAGCAAACCCTGTGAGTCAGGAGTCCCATGGTGCTCAGGTGTCAGGGGGTGGGGAGGGGGTCTGCAGGGGCTCAGCCTGACCGATACCATCCCCTGGTCTATGCAGTGGCCCAGCGATGCTTCCCAGCCATCCATGCCCACAAGGGGGTCCTCATGGTGGGCAATGAGACAACATATGAAGATGGACATGGCTCTCGGAAAAACATCACAGACCTGGTAGAAGGTGCAAAGTAAGGACCTCAGTCCACCACACCAGTGCTGTGGCTTCTGGGTGGGACAGACCATCCCCTGGAGGGGGCCCTGATCAGGGAGGGAATCTGATCTGGGCCTTGTCCCCTATCCCCCAGGAAAGCTAATGGGATCCTGGAGGCCCGGCAGCTGGCCATGCGGATATTTGAAGATTATACTGTCTCTTGGTACTGGATTGTCATGTAAGTGGGAGGAAAAGGGGCTCTCCTTTGCTGTCTTCGCTGAAGCTGGTGAGGGGTAGAGTCTGCTCACATCTGTTTTGTCCCCCAGAGGCCTGGTCATCGCCATGATGATGAGCCTCCTGTTCATCATCCTGCTCCGCTTCCTGGCTGGCATTATGGTTTGGGTGATGATTGTCATGGTGATTCTGGTGCTGGGTTATGGTGAGTTCCCACCTCCCTGTGACCTCCCCTTC